TTCTGGCGTAGCTATACTTGTTGTTAATAGATCTGTAAGAGTATTATTCCGATAGATAATTCTTCTATAGCGTTTAGGGCTGTAAACGAATCGAACGTTCAGCGAATCGTTCGTGAACCGTTCGGCGGGAAATTCGTTTATGTTTGTTTATTTAATAAATGAACGAACATGAACAAATTTTTTTGTTCGTTTAGTTAAACGAACGAATATGAACAAGAGTCTCGTTCGTTTATTTATGTTCGTGAATGTTCGTTCATTTACCGTTTGTTTACGTTCGTTTATATTCGTTCGTTTATGTTCGTTTATATATTAAATTTAATATATAATCTTTTATTTATTTACTTTGAATTCAAATAATATTTATTTATGTTCGTTTAACCCGTTCGTTTATGTTCGTTTAACCCGTTCGTTTATGTTCGTTTAGCTCGTTCGTTTATGTTCGTTCGTTTACGTTTGTGTAGCATGTTAACGAACGAACATAAACGAACATGAACACACCTGATTTCTAAACGAACGAACACGAACACAAATATTTTCGTTCGTTTACCATTCGTGTTCGTTCGTTTGTTCGGTTAAGTTACACGAACGAACATGAACAAGCTTTCGTTCGTGTTCGTTCGATTCGTTTACAGCCTAGTTACGTTTACGTATAAGGAAAAGAAACCAATCAGAATTACAAGATCAATTGAAACATTTACAACCATCGATCTGTCTTAATGGAATCTTGACTATTCGAAACCTTGGACAAAGACTTTGCCTTTCAATATCTTGACATTATTTTGCCTGTGAAAACTGAAACATTTATTAAATATAGAGTAAATTACAAGTTTTGTTTATGTGGTGTGACCCTAATTACGATGAGTGTCTCTAAGCCATAAAATTCATGGATAGGGTCCCTGTGGTTTCACTCTCTTTATGGATCAGGTTCTTTATACTAATTTATGTTAAATTACTTTGTTTAAGTTTGAAGTATTTTAGTTATTTTGCTATTTTATTTCATTTAATATTAAAAAAAAAGTAATTTATACATCATTTTGTTATTTTCTTCTAGATCCCCTTTGCCAAGAAACTCTATGCCGACGATGACACAACCACTGCCATTACTACGATCTTTGGTCGCCTTCCAAGAATGTCCACCATCGGCCTCCCTCTTCTTCCGCAAACACCCTCCCCCTGTTTTTCCAGGGACCTTCCCCTTTTGAACTCCGACATTGATCGAGAAACAAACTAGTGGCCACGGTGGTGGTTTTGGACGAGAATCAAACACGTGATGCTAATTTGCGTTTGGGTTTCTTCTTCTCGGGCGAATAAGAAAGGTATCGAGATGTTAATTTGCATTTGGGTTTCTTCTTCTACAGTGAATAAAAAAGGTATCGAGATGCTCATTTCGGTTGCGTTTCTTCTTCTCCAGCAAACAAAAAAGGCATCGATTTGGGTTTGGGTTTGTTCATGGATCGATCATGGCAATCTCAGTTTCATCCTTTTGTTTTTGCATATGGCAACAAAGCACATCATCACATGATTATGTTCATCAAGAATCACAACCCACCTTAACCACATATGGCAAAATGGAAACTATCGATCTAGATTGATGGATGAATCCACAATCAAAAATCAGGCATCAAGAATCTGGATCAATACCTCATCTATCTTGAACAACTTCTTTTGGGTTTTTTCTGTTAAAAATGTTTAATTATCACATAATATTGTTTGTTTATCATTCTAATATTACATATCTGGGTTCACCACTATAATGTGTCCAGATTTGTGTTTAAATATGAATTTCATTAGGTACAAATTCAATTTATTTTTTAAAATAGGTTGGGTTTTTACTTCTGGGTTTTGATTATTAGAGATGGATTTTTTGGAGATATGCCAATGGGGAGTGCTAATGGCACCTTAATAGGGGTGTAAAATGTATTGGAATTTGGAGTTGCTTTAGTTCCCATCAAATGTCAAAATCAATAATAATATATTTATTTTTATTTTTATTGTTTTATACATATATATATATATATTATACATTGTATATTATCATTTTAAGATATATATATATATATATATATATATATATATAAAACAT